AACACACTAAGTGCCATCTCAAATTTACCTATCCAAAACTGGGCAGTACAAATTCTCATCAGAACTTGCTCTCCTCAATGGCTGTGCCACCCTGAACAAGCCCGATTCCGTCTTATCTTGGAAGCTAAGCAGTGTCGGGCCTGGTTAGTACTTGGATGGGAGATCACCTGGGAAGACCACCAGGTGCTATAGACATGAAAAATAAGGGATTGTAAGCTGACAAGGTACTTGCAATCTGTGAGGTTGCCTCGCCTAAAAAAAAAAAAGAACTTGCTCTCCTGAGAGCCTTCCCTATCTCAGTTAACTCAGCTCCAATGGCTCAAACCAAAAAGTTTGACAAGAAGCTTGACTCTTCTATTTATTTCACATTTCAAATCCAGTCTATCAAGAAATTCTATTAATCCTAACTTTAAAATATGTTAAGAATCTGATATTTCTCACCAGCTCCACTGTCATCCACCCCCGGTCTGAGCCATCATCATACCCAAACTGGATGACCATAATAGCCCCCTCACTGGTCTCCCTGCTTCTGCTCCTGCTTCCCTTCATCTAATCTTAACATAGCAGTCAGTGTGATTCTGTTAAAAAGTAAGCCAGATCATGTCATTCCTCTACCCAGAACCCTCCAATGGCTCTCTTCTAACTCAAAATAAAAGCTAAAGCTCTGGCAACATCTTATAAACCCTACATAATATGACTCCTCAGGACTTCTTTGACATTATCTCCTACCATCCTGCCTTTTTCTTAGCGTACCCCAGCCACACTGACCTCTACATCCCCTCTTCCATTCACACACACACTCACGCACACACACACAAACACTCACACACTCACACAGATGCAAGTCAATATATATCAAAGGTAAAAACTAAGGGTAAAAACTGCTTGGTTTTTGAACAAAAAAATGACACGAAATATCCATTTCAAAAAATGATATGAAATTCTAACTACTGAATTTGTGATCATTGCCATGTTTTATGATCTGATTTTCATCTTAAAATAATCATCCTAGTTGCTTCTTAAGATTAACTGATAGGTGAGTAAGGGCAGACAGGATACCAATTAGGAAGCTATCCAGATGGTAGTGGATTGGACCTGTGTGGGTGCTAAAGGAATTGTGGATATATTCTCAAGGTAGAGCCAAGAAAATTTGTAGACAGATTGTTACTATATATTTTTAAAGGATAAAAGTCAAGACTAAAGTCCAGGTTTTTAGCCTGACCAAATTGGACAATGAGTTGGCATTAACTGAAGTGGGAGAAGACTGTGGGTGGAATAGGTTTGGGAGGTTGAAGATT